AACTGAGAAAAACAACACTTAAATAAAGAAATCAAATGAGGGATAAAGAAAACAAGATATTGAGAGCTGCATGACAATCAAAACGCTGTATGTCAAAACTTACGCAACAGAATTAAATCAGTATCAAAAATAAAGGTATCTGAAAATCAGTGAGCTAAGCACTCATGAAGTTAGAAAAAGAGCAACAGAGTAACCAAGAAGGAAATAAACAGCAGATAAACTGAATTGGTACCCCCTCAAAAAAAAAAAATCATGGTAGCTATTATGATTTCTAGTTCTATGCTAAATAATTATTAAACCTCAATGAAATATATAAATATCTGGAAAATATAAAATTATTAGAAGAAATCTAAAACTGGAATAGCTTAATAACCACTAAAGAAATTGAAATGGTAATCCAAAACCTCTATCCTCAAAATTATTAGGTCCAGTCAGTTTTTAGTTGTGTTCTATCAAGCTGTTAAGAAATAAGTGTTCGTCATTTATACAAGTTGTTCTAGAGACCAGATAGAGAGGAGCTATTGCTCAGACACAAGCAACTTAAATTAAGATATTCAGACTGAATTCAGAAGAAATCAAACACATGGTGTGCACATATACACACCCCAAATACACATAATGAATAACTAGGGCTCACTTTAGTAATGCAAAGATGACTGATGTCAGAATATTTATCTATGTACTTTCACATTAACAGACTAGACAGGAAATACCATATGATCATCTTAGTTGATAGAAAAAAGCACTGGAGAATTTAAAAAGTACACACTAAAATCTATCAGCAAACCAGGAACAGAAGCAAGCTTCAACTTAATAAAGGTTACATAACAAAAAGCTATAGTAAACATATTTAATGGAGAAATTTTATACAAATTCCCTTTAAGAGAAGAAACAAGATAAAGATGCCAGCTTATCACTGCTACTGCTCACCTTAGTACTAGAGGTTTTGGCTGACACAATAAAAGTAGAAATAGATAAGAAGATTAGAAGGAGCCAAAACTGTCATTATTTCAGGATGACAGCATAACATACACAGAAAACCCACTAAGGAAAAAGACTTCAGCAAACCTGCTAGATAAACAGACATAAAAATGATCATTATAAAGCATAACAGAAAGATTCAAAATAGCACCAAATCTTATGCAATTATTTCTAACTAATGGAATGAAGGATGCACAAGCCGCCTTTAACAGAGAAAATGTTAAACTCTATTATAGAACAGACACAAAAGAAGATCTGACTACCATGTTCACTGACACGATGACATTATTATTAATATGTCCCCATGATTTATAAATTCAATGCAACTTGAATCAAAACACCAAAAATACTTTTTGGACAACTTGACAAACTGATTCAAAAATAATGAAGAAAAACACAGAGACCAATAAAAACACTGAGGTGATTAAAAAGAAAAGGGAAAAACAGGTAAGCCACAGAGTAAGATACAATGCCAGTTATAGGAAAAACACACATTCTATATAGAAAATCCTAAAGACTCCACCAAAAAACTGTTAGAACAAACGAATTCAGTAAAGCTGCAGGATACAAATCCATGTACAAAAATCAGCTGCATTTCTATAAACTAACAATGAACTATGAGAAAGAGAAATGGGAAAAAAAATGAAGAAAATCCCATTTACAATTGCATCAAAAAGAACAAAACATCTAGGAATAAGTTTAATCAAGGAGGTGAAAGACCAGTATACTGAAAACTCTAAGACACAGATGAAAGAAACTGAAGATGACACAAACAAATGGAAAGATATTCCATGCTTATGGATTGGAAGAATTAATATTTTAAAATGTCCTTACTACCCAAAGCAATCTGCAGATTCAGTGCAATCCCCATCAAAGTTGCAATGGCATTTTTCACAGAAATAGAACACACAGTCCTAAAATCTGTACGGAACCACAAAAGACTCAGAATAGCCAAAGCAATCTTGAGAAAGACGAATGAAGCTGGAGGCATCACGCTCGCTGATTTCAAACTGTATTATTATAAAGCCATAGTAATGAAAACAGTATGGTATTGGCATAAAAACAGATACATAGATCAACGGAACAGAACAGAGAGCAGAGAAATAAACCCACACATACATGGTCAATCAATTTACAACACAGGAGATAAGAATATACAATGGGGAAAGGACAGTCTCTTCAATAAATGATTTTGGGAAAACTGGACAGCTACATGCAAAAGAATGAAACTGGAGCACTATCTTACACCATACACAAAAATCAACTCAAAATGGATTAAGACTTGAAACTATAAAACTCCTAGAGGAAAACACAGGCAGTAGGCTCCTTGACATTGGTCTTGGTGATGATCTTTTGGATCCGACTTTAAAAGCAAAGGCAACACAAAAGCAAAAATAAACAAGATGAACTACATTAAACTAAACAGCTTCTGCACAGCAAAGGAAATGATCAAAAAAATGAAAAGGCAACCTATCGAATGGGAGAAAACATTTGAAATTGTATGTCCGACAAAGGGTTAATATGCAAAATACAAAATAACTCATACAACTCAATAGAAAAGAAAATACAACTCAAAAATAGGCAGATGATCCAAATAGAGATTTTTCCAAAGGTGATATACAGATGGCCAACAGGCACATGAAAAGATGTTCAACATCACTAAACACCAGGGAAATGCAAAATCAAAACTACAAAGAGTTATCACTTCACATCTCTTAGAATGGCTATTATCAAAAAGACAAAAAAATAACAAGTGTTGGCATGGATGTGGAGAAAAGGGAACCTTTGTGCACTGTTAGTGGGAATGTAAATTGGTGCAGCCACTATGGAAAACAGTATGAAGGTTCTTCAAAAAATTAAAAATAGAACTATCACATCACCCAGCAACTCCACTTCTGGGAATTTATCTGAAGAAAGCAAAACAAACATCGAGGAAAGATATATGCAGCCCCATGTTCACTGCAGCAATATTTACAACAGCCAAGATATGGAAATAACCTATATTTACAATAGCCAAGATATGGAAATAACCTGTCAGTAGATGAATGGATAAAGAAGATGGGGTATATACAGTTATGTACTGCATAACGACATTTTGGTCAAAGAAAGACTACACATGTGACAGTGGTCCTAAAAGACTAGTAACATATGGCCTAGGTGTGTAGCAGGCTATACCATCTAGGTCTGTATAAGTACACTCTATGACATCTGCACAACAACAAAATTGCCTAATGACGCATTTCTCTGAATCCATCACTGTTAAGTCATGCATGACTGTACATACAATGGAACACGATTCAGTCATTAAAAAAAGAATGAAATCTTGCCTTTTACAACAACATGGATGGACCTTGAGGGCATTATACTAAGTGAAATAAGTCAGACAAATACTTTATGATTTCACTTATTTGGAATCTAAAAAACAAAGCAAACAAACCAAGCTCATAGACACAGAGAATAGACTGGTGGTTCCTGGGGATGGGAGGTTGGAGGGGGTGAAATGGGCAAAGGGGGTCAAAACACACAAACTTTCAGCTATAAAATAAATAAGTCATGGGGATGTAATGCACAGCATGGTGACTATATTGCATATCTGAAAGTTGCTAAGTGAGTACATCTTAAAAGTCCTCATCACAAGAAAAAAACATAACTGTGTGGTAATGGATGTTAACTAGACATAGTGGTGATCATTTTGCAATGTATACAAATATCAAACCATTATGTTGTATGCCTGTTATACGTCAATTGTACTTCAATAAAACAAATAAAGATGAAGAATTTAAAAAAAGAAGAAGAAAGAAAAAACACAAGAAAAGCCTAACAAAAAAGTTTCATAAGCTTCTCCCAATACATACATGTCCTACGACATATATCCAAGTGAGTTACTATTGGGGAGTGTATATGAGAAGGAAGATGGAAAATAAAGAGAAAAAATGTGACGGATCCTCCATGGACCAATGATAATGACCATAATATAAAGAGCACAAGTAACTTAAATTTGTGAACCTGAAATTTTAAAAGGAAGAACAAAACAAACAACAGGAAGTTTTCAAACAAATACACAGCATTTTTGGATGGGAAAGTTTAATAGTAAAGTATGAAAATATGAATTCTTCTGAAACTGAAATGAATTAAACATAATCCCAGATAAAAACACAATTTTTCCCCATAAATTTAAAGTATTAAGGTATTTTTGATCAATTCACAGCTTTCTCATTTTCTCAACAATAATGTGAGGGTAAGAGCTACCTCTCGGGACTGTTTTGATTAAATTAGATTATATGTATGAACTCTTCTTTTCATTGATCTTTAAGAACTAAAGAAAACCAAAACAAAAAAACCTTGAGGCTAAAGAATGGGGCTATTATCAATAGTCATAAAATAGCTATCTTTAAATGAGGCCTCAGGCTTACGTTATTTTCCCAAAACACCATAAAAATGTGTAAGGATTCCACATACAGAAGCATTAGCAAAAAGACCTGGAAGACTACTATCTTAAAATCAAGTATTGAGGGGAAAAAATGCAGCACAGCAATATGGTTCCCCCTTTTCCTAAAAAGAAAAAAAAAACCAAGCAATTTTGAAAATTCTATTTGTCTTCCTGACATTGTGCAAAGTAAGGTACAAGCAAAAGAGTATTTTAAACTACTACGTATTAAGAAAGGTTTACAGCAACAAACAAGGGTACATAAATTTTTATATAGAGAGTTCTTTCTAATATAATGCTTAACCAAAAATTATTAGGTTAATCACCACGTCCCTACAAGTTTTGTTTCCCTTCTAATTGTGACAGGGAGAATTCAAATCCTTGTGAAAACCAGTATTGATCTGATTCCCTTTTCTCTCATTAAGTCCCATCAAAATTAGATTTTAAAATAAATTAAACAATTTTTCAATCTTTGGCATACAAAAGAAAGAAAAAGGGTTCAACTTAGTAAATAATCATTAAAATAGAAATAAGGATTGGTGTAGTAGGCTAAAGAAGTATAAGGAAATACATATATTCCAGAGGTACTTACTGCACCAGATGCTGTACCTAAAAAAAAAAAATAAGAGGAACAATATTTACAATGTGAAAAAATCATACCGTTCTTGAGTTTTAAAATATTTATACATACTATTTCTTCCTCCTCATCCTGTCACACTAGATGTGTGATATCCTAAGACTGTCCCTTATGACCTATGTGCTTGCTCTCTCTCCTAGAAAATAATCATCTATAGTGCAAAGCAATTTCAGAATTAAGTGGCACTATGAGCTTTCAATTTGCCAACTCACTTGGAGCAGGTTTGAGAAGTATTCACACCTTTTGTTTCTCTTCTTGTTATTACAGGTGTCTATCTTGACTAATTCCTCTTCCTCTGCTATATTAATGAGGCACAAAATGCCTTGGACCTCTGATTCTATGCTTGAGGTTTCCAGGAACTTCAACTATCTAAGCTCCAGACTTGTGCTGTACAATACAGTATCCATTAGCCACCACACATCCCTGTTTAAATTAAAATTTAATTAAGATTAAGTAAAACTTAAAAGTTCAGTTCCTCCTTTGCACTAGCCACATTTCAAGTCTTCAATAATTACGTGTCTAGTGGCTACTAGTCAACAAAACAGATTACAGAACATTTCCATCACTGCAGAAAGTTCTGTTAGATGGCATTGTCCTAAACTACTCCTACAACCCCCTTAAGACACAAGGGGAAATGCACATTAATCACCAAGTTCATATGAATAATCTTTACTTTTAGAAACTAGTAACTTAAAATTGTATTTAAAAAGGAAAACAAAGCCTGTATGTAAAAAGGAAACAGTTTTCTTTAGTTACTGAGAGCTATCAAATGAAGCTACTATGGACATCAATGGTAAACCAAAGCATTTAAGAAGTAATTAAAAAAATTTTAAGGTTACTTTCCAGGATTGTTTAGGGTAACAGTAAGCAGCTCTAGATATCTAAATAGGCTAAAAAATATTATACTAGGTATTTCAGAACATCACTTCAGCTTAAATAATGAAATTTGTGAAACATCTTAAGATCAATTATGTCCCTTATAAACCTGCAGGAAAGCACATACTGCATTTTAAAATGTTTCAACCCATACTGTTTAAAACAAAACAGGTTTTAGCATAATCATGGGATGTTCAACACCCAGAATACTAATTTATGTGGAACATTATTTACTTAGGGATAACCGAGGCATTACTATTAAGTGTTAGAGACACACTAGTCAAAAAAAATATTAGTAAGTGGCTGGAAAAAAAATCATCACAGGGTTTACAAACTCCAGTGACTACAAAGACCAAGCAGGTAACAGAAAAATGACTGTGAAGTTGTCCAGCAGGCCAAGGAGAGAACACGCTCCATAGCTAAAGTATGGAGTTGCTATCTCATTCCACAATGCTTGCAAAGTACAAATACAGACAGAACTAGAGTTTTCCATTCAAATACTCTCTTTGTACCTACTGTGTTGACAAGGACCACTGTAAACAATAAATATTCAGATCATGCAACTTTTCAAGAAAAATTCAATCTCTGTGTAAAAAGATAAATTCAATCTTTATGTTAAGCCCGCAGACTTTAAATATTAGCAACTAATTATAAAGTTTAAAAACATTGTGTGGGCCAAAGCACACCTGTAGACCAAATCTGGTCCTAGAAGTCCTGATCCAAAATTATGATAATTTCTTATGGATTCAATTATAAATACTATCCCTATTTACCACTGATTAAAAGAAAAAAAAAATCAGGAGCTGATTATAAAGCATAAGAGACACAGCTTTTATTCCTCATTATAGTATGGTTGCTACTGTCCAAATGAAGACCAATACATACCGCCATAAATGGTACACATACCTGCTGCCACATCCATATTATTTACTCCTGGCTGTAAGAAGAAAAATAATCAATAATGTTGACCTTGTTTAACTATATTTTATACAAGTCCCTCATAAAGCACAGTCAATCAGTCCACTCTCTATATTATTCTCAAGCCTCTGACTCAAAGATTCTTGGCAAATTTTAGTGGTTTCAGTTCCCTGAGCTTGCCATAAATTGTAAAAAACATCAGTAACCTGGGGGTACTGAAGCACTTTAATCTAAATGTTACATTTATATAATCATCAGTTACATACAGATCCACAATTCTTTACCCACAATTCTGAAATCCAAAAAGCTCTGAAAACCAAGTTTTTTCAAGTTTGGCACTAATACTCATTATAGTGGCAAAACCTACCCTGAAGGACACGAGCTCTTTAGAGTATTTATCTTACCTCAGAGTGAATATCCGTAAGTTTTGCTGTAGAAATATTGTGCTGGAAATTCTAAGGCACTGTCTAAGGCCTCACAGGAAATTTTTAGATAATTTATAGTAGATGTAAAATATTACTTTACAGTATTAAAAAATTCTGAAATATATCTGGGCCTAAGAGTTTTGGATAAGACACTGCAAACTTACCACCCCAGTGGAGTATCAACTTCTGTTCACTACAACCACTAGGCTATCAGGTAATAAAGAAGTTATGCTAATTTGAATATCATAACAATTTATATAATTGTGATACTACAGGGTGATAAGGCCGTTCAAGGATTTTCTAAGTAATGTGTCCCAGGTGAAGTCTCATGAAATGTGGATTTCAAATGAAATCTTTTTTTTTTTCAAGCTACAGCTTTTTTATTTTTATTTTTTTTTTAAAGATTTTATTTTTTTTCCTTTTTCTCCCCAAAGCCCCCCCGCATATGGTTGTATATTCTTCATTGTGGGTTCTTCTAGTTGTGGCATGTGGGACGCTGCCGCAGCATGGTTTGATGAGCAGTGCCATGTCCGCGCCCAGAATTCGAACTAATGAAACACTGGGCCACCTGCAGTGGAGTGCGCAAACTTAACCACTCGGCCACGGGGCCAGCCCCTCCAATGAAATCTTTTGATTTCTAAATTTAGGTTCTAGTACTAAATTATATCAATTTTTAATTATCACTCAGTAAAACAAATGTCCACTCTTTAAGATAAGAAAGCTACCAGACCCATAAAGTGCTTCTGACAAATTATGTTTTTTAGTGTTCTAGTCGTATTTAATGCAGAATGAATTTAATAACAAAGGATGTACATAAAATATAAATATTGGGGAAAAAATGTAAGTGCCTGTCATTCAAGAAACTAAAAATAAAAGTCCACTGTAATTCCCATCTTACATGTCCGGAGGCACTTAAAAAGCTAATGATTGGTTATAAAATACATATATATTATTTCATAAATAAAAGTAATCAAAACACCACAGAAAATAGTTATTTTCACAAGATTACCGGTAAGGCAGGCTGCATGGAAGCCTGAGACATATGAGACATCATCATTCCAGGCATTACTGAAGACATCATTCCAGGCATCTAGAACAAAAGTAAAAGAAGGTTACTATATAAGACCAAAGCACTTAATATGACTTTAAGAATCTATCTGGTTATTAAAGCTAATATGTACAACTTAAGATTAAAACCCAGTTAACACTATACCTACATGGATAGTATGCTTAGTAAGTGCTTGTTGAATGAATGAAGTATTTTATCAATGATCTATTTTAATACTTATGTCATAATTTTTATGTACAGTGAAAATTATTTTAACAAATAAATTTAAAAATTCAGACTATTATGTTATTTCTAACCTAAATTTAAGAATATTAATTTTCTTTTAGTTTTAACTTAACTCATGTTTTTCTCCCTTCTTTGGAGTAAGACAAAATATTTTTTCAGTATTTCTCACCTTTGACTTTTAATATCTGTATTAAGCCAGCTTTTATAGCGATCTGGTCCTTTTTAAAATTCTAGATCAAAGGTGCTTAAAATTCAGTGACAAAAAAATACATAAAAAACATAAATCATCTATGCCCTCTCTCTTTTTTTTGAGGAAGATTAGCCCTGAGCTAACTGCTGCCAAGCCTCCTCTTTTTTTGCTGAGGAAGAATGGCCCTGAGCTAACATCCACGCCCATCTTCCTCTACTTTATATGTGGGATGCCTATCACAGCATGGCTTGCCAAGCCGTGCCTTGTCTGCACCCAGGATCCTAAGCGGCGAACCCCGGGCCGCCGAAGTGGAACACGCGAACTGAACTGCTGCGCCACTGGGCTAGCCTCTATGTCCTCTCTTGTAAAGAAAACCTTAATGAAGTACACACATGAATATGTGAAGAAACAAAATATTAATTTGGGAGCTTAACCTTGTCTACCAATAACGGCAATTCAAATCTATGAATTAATCTTTACCCTATAGTATGAATAAAAATGATGATTACCATAAATTTCCAAAGGATTTTGACCCAATGCTCATCTATATTAGGAGAATGTGACATTGTAATTTTGATTTTAATATGAACTAATTAAGGAAAATATGGAGGGGAATAAAAATTATATACAATAACCATAGGTACTAGGAACAAGGTTACCAGTTATTCAACAGTTTCAAATTAAATGAACAATCTGAGAAATAGGAACAACAAAAGAGAAGTAAGTGTATTGGTCAATAGGGACATAGATGAGAACACTCACACTGTTTTTCATTACTTATGAAAGTCAACTCATGAGCAAAACCAGGCTAAAGTACATTAAAATGAAGCAGCATGTTATTAATGGATTAAAAAACAACAAAAGCTTTTCTGTTCCTCAAATCATTCAATAAATTGTTTACATATCACTAAACAAGAACTTGACAGAAAATGCATGACTACAACTTGGAATATACGGTCAAATCATAGTAAAAATAAAAAGGTACAGAATTAGAGAAATAATTTATACATTAAGGGAAAAAAATAGAGCAATCAAATGAGAACAAAGCTTGTAACCTCTCCTCCTATCCCCAACAAATATACACTCACAATTAATTTTGCTTTAGGAAAACAGGAGAGCAGGTTTGAATTCTTTAAGCACTAAGTAACTGATTATGCGGGGAAAAGCATGGTAGGCAACAAAGAGAAACAGTCTGCTTTTTAAAATGGTTTGTATATAAAATCAAAACTAGTAACATTCAAAAACTAGAATACTAAGCTAAATTGAGAAACTAAAGTTTGAAAACTAAGAGAAAAACAAATCAAAGTATTTTCTCATAAGAATTAAAGACATTATGAAAACGGAGGTAAAATCTCCATCATACAACAGAACATTTCCACATGGTAGCTGTACACATGACACATGAATGTAATTTCAAATTGAAACATTCTGACTTCATAAGACACACACGGATCAAATCCCATTTAAAAAACAAAGCACAAAAAACCTTCTATGTAACAAAAGTTTACTAGACCAGGCCAATGACAGAGCAAACAATATCTGAAAATCACTAAACAGAGTTAGACAGAGTTCTCTCAATTGTTCCTCTTCCCACACTTCAAATTTTAAAACATCTCAACAATTTGCCTTTAGACTAGAACTCATGGTATGGGTTATAAAATGAGTTAAGGTCAAATAAAAAGCTAAATTCTCCCTCAATATCTCTGTAAATTCTGAGGACCAGCAACTAGCTAAGCTTATTCAACCTGACAAACATTAGCAAGATTCTTAAATCACGTACAACTGAATATTCTAAAAGTAAATAGATTACTATAATTTTAAACCAAAACTGTGATGTTATTAACATGAAGCCAAAGAACAAAAACATCAACATACAAAATACCATATTTCTTATGAAAAGCTATTACAACATTTGACAAATTAAGAGCTTTTCCAGAGGCTTGAGCATTATAGAAAAGCCTGTTTACCAAAGCCTTAAGAATCTACTTTGTGGAAATGTTATGATTTCCATTTTTCATTAATTCTAGGATATACATAATATAGAGATGTATGTTTCAACCCATGTGACTGAAACTGAATTCCTTCAGAGAATTTGTGTTGACTTAGGCAACACCATCAATCTGAGACCATTAAAGTTTTCTAAGTTGTTATTTTTTTGTTTTACTACCACACTAATAATGGGAATCCAGGCTGCAAACTTATTATAAGAACTAGTTTGTGGTTCAAATTCGCAGAAGTGATTTTTCCCTCCCTCTGCCCAATAACCAAAGTTGAGACATTGAAGCTACTTTACTGTCTCTTTTTGCATGGTAGATATACTCCTTAATTCACACATGGAGGGACTAGCCCTTTGATGGCCTCCAGCTTTATTTGTAGAGTATTTTCAACTTGCCATGTTAGGTTTGTTTTTTTCACTCTTAGGGCACATAATATAATGGAGTGTCTGACCACTGATGACATCTTACATTCAATGAAAATGGAATGCCTGTTCAAAATGGCTAAAGGGAAGAATTCTTAACATAGTTGCTACAATAATGTCACAACAAATTCCATAAGCCAGATCATTCTTAAAGCCACAAAGTCGTAGTTCATATAAGATTAATATGAACCACACTGAAAATCACAACCATGCAGAGCTTCACAAATTTCCATTTAAGCTACTTTGGCAAATATATTAAATGCTATAATTAAGAATTTTTAGTTGTTAGGAGACAAGGAGAGACTAGGAAGAGTGAAAACATATTATGTGGGATTTAAGCTAAATTGCCTAAAATATTAAACATTTGAATTTTATGGACACTTTGGCACCTCCTAAAAACAAAAAATAATTCAGATATACTTTTTGATATACTTTATTCATAAGTGGTCAACCATTTGTGTATCTATATACTATATAAACAATTTTTTATTTTCTTAATGATAAAAGTTAAATCAATTATCACGATGCTTTCAGAAGAATCAACATCGTGAACAAGAAAGAAACCAGTAAAAACTAGGGCGCACCACACAATCTGCTCAGTCATTCTTAGCATCCCAGTTTGGAAAATTTCTAATGTTAGATAAAAACAAGCATTCTTGTTGTTGATACATTCATGTATCACTCTAGGTATTTTTAAAATTAAAATAAAAGGTACAGTAATAAAAGCAATTGTATCAAGGCTACAGCAAATTAAAAATGTAAACTAAATTAGCCCAATTTTATTGTGACATGAAAGCAAAAGCAAACATCTTCACGTGGGCACTTCAGAAGTTCTTTTCTTCGTAATTATTTCCCGAAGTTTTTCCCGGTGGAAAGAAATCACACAACCTATCTTTTGTCTAGATATTAACTCTTAAATTTGGTTCATTTTTAAAAACCATGCCTGCTGGAAACCTGCAGTTCCAGATTATCTAAAAAGTTTGATTCTTGCCTTTGTACTTGGTTCCTTTCAAACGTACTAAAGTCAAATTCCACAAGATAAGTACACTCTACAGAGGCAATTAAGCACAATATTTAAAAATGACTATCTCCTACACCACTAACTTACCTTATGAAAAAATATACGAATGGAAAGTTATTCTTTGAATAAATGCAAAAACTACATCTTTGAAAATAACTAAATATCCATTCAATTGGAAATAAACAGAAATACCTCTCTTTAAAGAATGTCCTTAGTAACCCAAAGTAAGTGGTTGCATTTTGGGACAATCATTTAACCTTACTTCCTCTTCAGCTAGAGTTATATATAAATTCAAGCCATTTCTCATTTTCTAATATAACATTTAGATAAAAAATAGACAATATCTGCACAAACTGTCACCTCATAGACTAGAACCTTACCATTCAATAAGTCAATTGTCAGTATTCAAAACTATTTAGTTTGCTAAATTCTCTCAACCTGGAGACTTCAGAATTGCTGAAGTATACACTATTCAGATTCTAAAGAGGCTGGCTTAATCCCCGTACAGGGAAGCAGCCTAGTATGGCTATTAAGTACATTCTGGAGTCAGACTGCCAGAATTCCTATCCCAGATTGGACACTTACCAGCTGTGTGAATTGTACAGTGACATTGCAGAGCCAGCAGTAAATGTGTTGCTTAATCTGTGATTGACTTCTTATTGCATGTGTTGATTCCTACTAAAGATCATGGTTTTACGGTATTTACTAGATGCCTTTAAAGAACCGAAGTGCCTACCTAACTGATAGATAGGGAATAGATGAGAGAAGGAGCAATATAAGAAGTACTTTCATTATATTATTTGAAGGAGAGTAGTGGTAATAAAACAGTTGTCATTTATTGAGCACTGTTCTAAGTGCTTTCTGTGTGTTATCCCATTTGAACCCTACAACAGTCCTATCAGATGAATACTATTTTCCCATGTTACAGGTGAGGAAATTGAGGCCCAGATAGGTTAAGTGAATTAGCCCAAGATCACACAGCTGGTAAGTGTCCAATCTGGGATAGGAATTCTGGCAGTCTGACTCCAGAATGTACTTAATAGCCATACTAGGCTGCTTCCCTGTACGGGGATTAAGCCAGCCTCTTTAGAATCTGAATAGTGTATACTTCAGAAATAGAACTGAATGAAAATGAACTATCATTTTATTTTTAAAAACCTCTAGAC